TTTGTGTCGCGATGGAATCATAGTTTTTAAAAAAGAAAATAATTATAATATTTTACTCTACTGTTTGTATCGAGCACTGTTCTTTTTTAAATAAAAGTAATTGCTAAAAACACCGAATTTTAAATCTTACTTTTCTCATTATTTTTAAAATACACACACACACACACACACACACACACACACACATATATATATATATATATATATATATATATATATATATATATAAAGAGGAAGTGCATACATGTGTCTTGTGGCAATAATTTTTTGTTTAAAAACGACAAACATAGAATAGCTTTTAAATTATTTACTTGGCCTTACTTTTCGTATTTTCATATTAGATCATAAGATAGGGTTCAATGTATGTAAATGCAGTCAAATGTTTTAAATGCAGAATTTTCTGTCACACACTGAGCCATTAACGTGATCTATGAACTTCAAGGTTTGCGGCAATGATTTTGAATGGTGGTCGTTTTTCTTATGTTCTTTTCTTTAAATTTTGAAATACTTAAACTCATCTCAATAGAACTTGTGCGTTATGATAATGCAACACACCAAGCTACATACAAGCGACACACCTCACTGAGTTGAATGTATCTATCAGTTGTTAAATACATTTAAAATACCAATTCCGGAATTAAAGATCATTTTGCTCGGAAGGTTCTTGATTTTATCCTAAGAACTTCAACAATATGAAGCCATTTTTTTTTTACAATTAATGTTGTATAAGCGTATATTTGATGTAACTATCTGTGCCAACAGCGCTTAATTGAGGGCTTTCGACTAAACCTTTATCAAAATCTATGACATCAATGGTTGGAGACAAAACTTGTGATTATAGATGTAGTTATTTCATAAATTTATTTTTCTAAATTTTAATATTATAGGGTTTTTTTATTTAATTATGAATGTATCACACATCAATCAATACATAAGTGAAGTTCCTCTCATGGCCACCTGTAATATTCATACATTAAAACTCCAAATATTCAAACAAAAAACAATACAGAGTCCAGTATTTACATTAGTCGGACTATTATCCTCATCTTTGTCGCCATATTTGTCACAACGTTTCGGCCGTTGTACGCTCCGGCCTTCTTCAGGTGGTTGGAATTTCGAACTGAACCCTTTATTTCGCTCACTGGGGTAGACTGTTCTAGTTCCACGTGCCATGTTTGATGGATGTCAGTTATCAGTCCTCAAGGACACATGGCACAGTGGATAAAGGCGTTGGTTAGATCCAGTGACAGACCCAAAGAAGGTGAGTTCAATTCCTGGTTAAGGCAGTGGAGAACTTTCAGAGGGAAAATTAGCAGGAGATAACTGATAACTGACATCCATCAAACATGGCACGTGGAACTAGAACAGTCTACCCCAGTGAGCGAAATAAGGGGTTCAGTTCGAAATTCCAACCACCTGAAGAAGGCCGGAGCGTACAACGGCCGAAACGTTGTGACAAATATGGCGACAAAGATGAGGACAATAGTCCGACTAATGTAAATACTGTACATAATACCTCATCTCAGAAATATAGACAGACAATACAGAGTGTATCAAAAAATGCATTTAAAAACGTTGTGGGCGGTTTACTCATACCAAAACTTTTGTCCTTGCTTTAGTGTGAGGAACTCGCCCGCAAAGTTTGTAAATGTATTTTTGATACACCTATATATATATATATATATATATATATATATAGGGGCAGCAGATCTTTATTCAAACATATCTTCAGTATTTACATTATTCGGACTATTTTTCGAATCTTTGTGGCCATGTTTATCACAAAGTTTCAGCCGTTGTACGTTCCGACCTTCTTCTGGAGGTTGGAATGTTGAACTGAACCCTTTATTTCGCTCGCTGGGGTAGACTGTTCCACGTGCCATATCTAGTGAATGTCAGTTATCAGTTATCTCCTGTTAATTCACCTCTCCAAGATCTAACCAACGCCTTTATCCACTGTGCCATGTGTCCTTAAAGACATCTGTGCATGAATTTCTGAGACTTATAATCTTAATGTCTTCAGCAATCATTTTTTTACCAGTGCTCATATTGCAATTTTTGCTGTTATCGTGCATTTTTTACCCGAGCTCATATTGCAATTTTCCTTGTTATTATTGTTTTTCTCTGGCACTCCTTATTACTGGTTCCCATATTGTATTCATTTCTATTCTTGGGCGGCTCAGGAGATTTTTGTGGCCCAGCAATACCTGGTTAAAGCAGTAGAGAACTTGGAGAGGGGAATTAACAGGAGAAAACTTACATCCATTAGACATGGCATGTGGAACTAGAACAATCTAACTCAGCGACCGAAATAAAGGTTCAGTTCGACATTCCAACCACTTGAGGAAGGCCAGAGCGCTCAACGGTCGAAACGTTGTGATATACACGTAATAAATTTTGTTGAGTTTTGGTACTGAACACACACACACACACACACACACACACACACACATATATATATATATATATATATATATATATATATATATATATATATATATATATATTAACGTCTCTTCAAGTATAATTATTTCTATTAGCTAAGTCAACTATTGCCTTGCCAATTTAATCTGTTACATTTAATTTTACGCTATATCGTGCCTGGGTGTCGCGAAAATGCATTTATTTGATTCAACTTAATTTATTTTAAATAAATGAAAATTGAAATATTAAATGAAATAAAATTAAGAATAAATATGAATTATTTTGTTGCAGAGTAAAGAAATTGAATCAAATCAAATCTGTGGAATATGTACAAGTGAAAATTATTTATACAGAATTTAGTGAAAGGAAAGACTGAAGAAAGGACTAAACACCACTTACAATAAGAAAGAATGCACGGTTGTTAGCAAAAGGATCAGCCCAACATGCAAATTGCAAATTGGAGAAACAAAAATAAAACAAGTATAACTATTTAAATATCTGGGAAGTATAGGGTGTTTCATTAAAACGGATTATATATAATGGTGTTTCATTAAGACGGATCAAAGTCAGCAGTAAATAAATCAGTATTATTGGTGAAAATTTATTTATTTCTCTATTGGATCATGTTATTTAAGTCATGGCAATTATGTGTGAAAAATAATATTGCCCAAATGTCTGCCGAATCTGAAAGAAAAAGAAAAAAATTATTAGATGCTTAAACTTAATTCACATTTAAAATAGGTCCAAGTTATTGGAACACCCTTTATTTTAACAGTGGACGGAAAGTGTGGCACTGAAACTCAAAGGCGCAATGGGATAGCGAATGATGCTTTCTAAAAGCTAAGCAAAGTATTAAAAAGTAGAAAATTTTCATTATTAAACAAAGAAAAGAGTACTGAAATGTGACATAATATCAGACCTCGTATATGACAGTGAATGCTAGAGTATCTCCTCATAGACAAGAGAAATATGGTTCTACAGAATGCTGCTGAGATTATCATGAACGGAAAATGTGAGCAATAACGAAACAAAAAGAACATTTCTAGGGCACCTAACGAGAAAAGCAGGTTCGGAAAATTCGATACTCACAGGAGAGACGGAAAACAAGACAGACAGAAACAATGCATAACCGAACTAGCGAGCACGAGATGGCAGAAGAGGTTTTAGAAGAGATAGCAAAAAGACAACATTTGCTAAGACCTATAAAGAACAGAAAGTTGTGGCGAGCCATGATTGCGAACGTCCAGAACGGACACGGCACAAAAAGATGATCAATAGATTTACACCTTCTTTCCGTAAAGATGGCACAAAATTTCTTCAATATCTGTGGCACGTAGAAATAGAACAATTTACCCCGGTGTACGAAATAAAGGGTTTGGTTGAAAATTCCAATCACCTGAAGAAAGCCGGAGCATACAACGGTCGAAACGTCGTAAATATGGCAACAAAGACGAGAACAACAATAAAACACTGTAAATAGTGTAAATAACAAAATTTGTTGATTTATTATTGGATTGTACATTGATATTTAATAATTTCACAGTTTACAGTTAAGCCGGAAATATTTCTATGTACTTTCTTAAAAATAGAGAAGGATAAATCTGGAAAAAAATCAGTTGTGTTTAGTCAGAGGTCTTAGTGAATGGCTCCATATATGGCTGGTCAACTTAGCTTGAGAGAGAGGCAGACAGAGTTACAACTATCACCCACAAAAAGTGCATTGCCATCATCTACCGGCAGCCGCTTTTTTGTGAAGAATTTTTTTTTTTGCATTCGCTTGACTGCGTCTGCTTTCTTCAAAGAGTTTTGCTCTCTAGTAAATA